CTGTAAACATCTTAAATGAGTGATTGAATGTTTCGATCTAGTTTTCGTTATAGTTTTCCAGACAGTATAATAATAGTCCCATTTTAAATTTACGTGAGGAAGTTGACTGAAATGAGACTATGAAGGGAACATTAATAGGTCTCATAAATATATATTTTGCATTAGTGAGCACAGGTACCGTACTTACATTAGCCTCACATGATAACAAGTTGGAAACTACTTGTGAAAGTACCGCATGTATGTGGAAATATGAGAGCGCATGCGCTACTGGACCACTTGTCGAATCTGGATGTTAAATGTAATGTGATGAACTTGGCTTTCGTTACCATTTCCCTGTCTTGCTGTGCGCTTCAACCAGGCGTTTGTTGCCCGAACCAAACAAATCGCTGCGCATATTTTCCCAATTAGAGATTCCAGCGTTCTGAACTTAAACTGTTAACAAAAAAGAATCGTTAAAAAAGATGCGAATTGATTGAAAACGAATAGGCCTATAATATGAGACAGTGGATAAAGATGAATCACTCTGCTCAGAAGATAACAAATGAAATTAGACAGAGAATCGCAACTCACCGGGCAGTCTTCACAAATATTCCAACAAATAATTCTGAGTCGGGACAAAATGTATTGTACCTTAACAGAGTCTATTTCACTATGTAAAATGAAAATAATATCACTCAACAAAGTAGTTAGGTTATATAGGGGCAGCCTAATTATATAAACTTGCAAGCTTTGTGTAATAGTAATAATAAACAACAGAAGACGAACGCTGTCACGAAATATGCGAAAATATTTCACCGCCTCGGGTTTCAGCAAATATGGTATAAACAGAAGTTTAAACTTTTGTATAGTTTTAGAATAAACTTGGAATTTCGTCAACATGGCATCAAAGAATTCGTAAAATGTTAAAATGGTGTTTCAGAACTTTACAAAACGTTGACAACGTCATTATGGAGTCCTGGCAATTTATTATGTTTAAACGTGTGGTATATACGGTTTCAACTGAATTGTTTGTGGAAACTAAAATAAGATTAAACTTCAGGTCGATTACAAACCAAATATACAGCGGACAAATTTGTTAACAAACAGGATAGAAATTACACAACAAACTATCTATCATAAGGATTGAGGACGTGATGCTGTCAGTAGTGTCTCTACGCTTTCCACGCTTGTAGAGATCTACAGTAGGCCTACATCCGGTACATGACCAACCTCAAAATGAACCATATAATAACCACATTTCGTAAAAAATGCGTGTGTGCTGTTTCTTGTTTTTTTTTTTTTTTTTTTTTTTTTTTTTTTTTTACAGTTTACTACTGTAAGTACGCATGTGTATTCGCCTTTTGTGCGTAATAATTACACAATTATTGTGTATGTTTTTCACGCGCGCTAAATATTGGCACCACGTTTCCAACAAAAAGTTGCTTAATGCTCGACCCTTATTATTTAAATATGTAAATTAGAATTTAAAATTACCTTCAGACAGTTTGAAAATCGCTATTGGCAGTAGGTGCCAATAGCAACCTTGTATCAAAACTGTCCAAAGTTTTAAATCAAAATTTGAGTTTGTGTCAACATCTCACGTATTACCATTGAATGTACAACCTCATTATATATCATTACAATAACTGTTCGAAGCCGGCGATGACGACACGGGAGAGCGTTCTAATAATGTTACTATGGAAACAACCAATGGGAGGTAACCTAATGAATCTGATTGACTTAATACATGCCAACTACTTCAATCAGTAGGCCTGTTTGTCCAACCTTATGAAACCGTGAGAAAGTTGTGACGTAAGCTAAAAAATGTAGAAATATATCTTGCAACTTTATTAATTATACTAATTAGTGAGCACATGCAGAAAATATAGGCCTAAATAACTACATCTAGACCTATATGTTTCTCTATTCCAAAATTGCCCGTCAGTTACCTTTTTTTGTAAAAATTATTATCTTGGTGTTTCTATCCTTTACGTAATTCCATTCCATGATATTATTTCTTTAATCTTGCATACTTTTTAATAGAATTGTTGTATTTACTATGTCATAAAATTGTAAAACGTTTTTTAATTGCTTTTCTAAGAATGTGAATAATTTCATAATCCATTTAAGTAACGGACGCTACCACAATATGAAAACTAACCCTATTTGTATTGTCCTTTTTCACATTCAATTAATATTGTATGTTTTGATATTTACGTTTGTGTGAATTAATTATTATTTAGACTTCGAACTTCAGACTTCATTCAGTTAATGGTCATTTGTGATTTAGAGTTTAGGCTTGTGATTTCGAACTTATCCATTTCTTTTTTAAGAGCATCTTAAGTTTTTCAGATAATAGGCCTACATGCAATAGCGTGAATAATGTGTTAACATTCACGATTTTAATTATTATCTTTTAGGGTTAATAGGAAAATTGGGAAAGTGAGTGGACGCTAGTTTTGTGAGTTTTACCTACTTAAATGCAATATTTTTGCTCAGTAAATTCCTGCAGGTAGCTACTGTAGGACACAAAATTTTCTGGGGCCTGTGTCCCCTTATCCTTCCTTCGTAGTGTTGTACCCAAAATGGCCGCTGGTTTGCTGCCGCCAACGATGAGTACACGTTGAAATCTGTTACGATTAATGTACACAGGAAAACCAAGACAATGATGATCAACGGTATATTTTAAAAGATATATATAGAAGCTATTCTATTTGAATGAAATTAAAATTATTCTAAATATAATTTGAGAGGTCCGTAAACAGGGTGAGATGTTCAGACAAGGTTGGGGGAGCACTTAGATTATTTAAACACTATTCTAAACCAAGTTTAAATAAATTAACCTTGACGTAAACCTTCAAAACATATCATTTTGTAAGGTCCAAGAACGACACTAATAAAACAGATCATTTCAATTGTTCCTGTTAATCCTAGGCTCTAGATAACCACCTGCTCCTGATTGGTTTTATCAGTCCGAAGTATTTGGCGGTTTATTCGTATGTTTGATTCTGATAATAAGGAGCACCTACATCATGAAACAAAAAAAATTATTAACACAAAACGTATAGGTACAGTGATTTAAAATCTACTCTTTCGTAAGAGACAAGCACTCGCCCCCGGCAAAGTTTGTAATTGATTTATTAGGCCTACTCTGCCGCAACAATTTGTCAAGCCCGGACCCAGCATTGTACGTGTGCGTATGCGCCTCTTTCAATCCTGTGTAAAAAGGTTCGTATGTTCAAGTATGAGAAAGTGATTATTACAACCCTAAAATAAATAAGATGACCTCACAATTGACTTACAAACTAAAAGTGTACTGTAAGTTATTTTTAAGACCAAATACGGTATTTTTCCAGAGCGACCGTATGCGATACACATCCGTCCTCCTATGGTCCCGTACGTGGTAATATGTGGACGATCATGCGCGCCTTTATCGAATGGTCGACTTCACAAAATGGTACCGCCATTTTATGGATAATCATGTGCGACACCTTACGCTACACGATCGATGGCCAAATATTACACTTTATAATATTTACGTGATAACCTATGGAAATGCATATGTGACACCTTAAATTTGCGTAGTCCCAAAGACGATACGTGGATGAACACTCATTATGCAGCGCCGTTTTATCGTACACTTACAGACATTGTCCTGTTGGTAAACCTTCGAAATGTGCAATAATTTTATTATTGATAGTCATATCTACTTTTCCACGCCGTTAATAATACATTATTTTCAATCATAACAAATTATAACTATCAATGGTACTTTCTTCTTTCATGGGCAGCGAAACCGGGGGCCGGACCTCCCACCTTTTTGTGGCATAAAATATGTCTACTAGTATGCAGATTTTTGTATGATCGGAAAGAAATGAAGTAGAAATAAAGTTTCCCCCGCCCCCCCCCCCCCATCTTGAAAAAAGTTCCACCGGCCCTGTTCTTTTATGTTTAACCGAAGGAAGGTGGAATTGAAAATTTATGCCTAGTAAGGCGGTACTTACCACTACATGTTCCATTTATACAGAAAAGGCCAAATGAATAATCACAAGCTTGCGATGGGAGGAGACAAGGTTCTCCCGCTTGCTTAGCACAGATATTACAACAGGCGCATGGATCTGATATGATGCGATTACCGGGACAGCTATCCGTTAAGGTAGGACACTCCCAATGACAGGAATAGTATTCTCCTGGGCAGACATCTGAAGAAAAACATAATTCGCCGCACATTAAAATCATAAAAACCGTCAAATATAGGCCAATTGCACGATGCATGTTCCACTTCATATCCTTACACCTCACAATTTATTAGAATGTTGTTTTTCTTTTCACGATTGGTTAAATTAACGATAGGTATTACTCGGACTGAAATGCGAGAAAACCGTGGTTTCGCTTCGGGTATCCGTCGACTGAATGATGTTGGAATCCAACCAGCACCACCACCAGTCAGGAGGTTCTTGTTAAAACTTCGTAGTGTGTACTTAATGTCATGTGACCTCAGGTTGCCGACCAATCAAAGCCTTGCGGGCACCGGCTCTGTTCGCTGTCTCTTGTTCTCCTTTCATTCATTCGTCCCATGTGTCAAACTGCTTCCAACTGAGCAGCGAACTACGAATATGTGGCAGGTGAGCCACGAATGATCAAGCCATCATTTCAAAGGGGAAAAAAATACAGGAAACCACAAGTACAAAAGAACTAAACACCTAAACAAAAAAGCAAGTGTTATGGACTCAATTAGTCGCTACTAAAAAAAAATCCATGTCATTATTAAGTGTGTTACGTGCTCGCCCTATTAAGAATTCTTTACCACATTTAATTTGCATTGTAAAGTGCTTAGAACCTGTTAGCATGAAGCACTATAATAAGTCTAACATATTATTAATATTAGGAAAACGATTACGAATACGTTTAATGCGAATACGTCATAAATTTTAGTATTTTAGCCAATCATCATTCTATCTATCACAGCGTATCTGCGTTTTACAAGAATAATCGATTATAGGCTTATTATATATGTACATAATCTAACATGATTTTAACAATAACATATGTATAACAGCTTGCAATTCAGAAAAAAAAGTGATCTATAAGTATGATCACGATATTAATACGGACGCCAACCGACAAATTCATCTCCCCTCTAATAAAGCGTTACAGTTATCCTTACACAATTCTAATTACACTTAGTTAAACTTAGGTACACATACATCTCAGCTTCTGAACCAAACAAAAGTTACCTCTTTAGTCATGATATCCTTTACGAAGCTTTATTACTAGTCGCCAGAGGGTATATTACAGACTGAGAGGCCCAGAGCTATAGGCCTATCCATGTGGAATTTAAGACCAGGTCAAGTGTACAGGGACACGACACAACATACCTATTATGTATGTGTTATACATATTTTGTGTTCGAGGGGATATAACGCGTCACGCCGACGGCAAGATAGTAGGTGATATTGTATTATAGCAAAAGACTCGGTAGTATTCTGCAGAGTGTACCGTATTAGACCAAATTAAATTTTAAATCTATATACAGTGCAGGGGCGGATCCAGGTATGAAAGAGGGTGGTTCGAAATGTCTCAAAAAACCCCAAAAAAGTGAAAGAGGGTCCTGGGGACCTCCCCGGAAAAATTTGGGTTACTGGATGGCCGGAAATGAGCTTTCCCGACTTCTGAGGAGTCTTATGACCTTTAAGTTCTTCAAAATTCAAGGTTTTTCTCCTCTTGAAAGAGATCAGGTAATTTTATCGAATGGATATTTTACCACTCACTAATTTTGAATTATCTATTGATTGACAACGAACACAACACTATATCCCCGACGCATCAATCAGGATGTAAAAAGGCCAAAAGACGGAGACCTGAAGACAGAGTTTTTTTAGCCGGAATGTACGGTACCCAGCTATAGAACAGCTATCCATCATAGAGTAATCATATAGTAAGGCCTACGCGTTCTGGTGCGAAAATCTGCAGGCCACCGACCCTTATTGGCCCATTTGATTCCCCTACCCATGAGTCCAGTGGGGTCCTCGCTCTATATACCACCCTGATCATAAATGGCTTTGTTAATAACAGTATAATGTGTCTCTGACAGCGACTGTATGACCATGGTATGACATATATTTATTAATCCAGTGGGGGTGGAGTGCCCAGTCGGCCAGGGCCACCCTACATTTGTCAAAATTTTTAAAAACGTAGATACAATTGTCAAATTTTAAGTCTGAATGAGTGCCATTTCCGGGCATCTAAAGGTGCCATAATCATAATTTGCTTTGCGAGTACCCAGTATAGAATATATAAAGGACTATAGGTCCTTTGATCAGACCTTTCCGACCCCCGTGAGGGGAGGGGTGTTGGGGCGGATGCAGAGGTGGTGCAGAGGGTGCGGTCGCAACCCCCTAAATTGTATTAAGAAAAATAATTGTTGTATTGTATTGTTGTAAGTTATGAGAGTGCAATTTCCGGGCGCCTAGAGACAGGCGCGGATCCAGACCTCTTCGCACCGTTTGCCAACATAAAGATAGCAGTGCCTGGTGGTCTGGCGAATTCCAACTCTTACTGTCAGAAATGCCATCTACCTAAACCAAAGACAAAAATATAATTATAGACAAAATAAACTTTTTTCATTGTCTAAGTACCGTATTAATCAAAGAGGGACTTTAATTAAATCGGCTGCGCGATAAAGTACGGTACACTGTTGAGTTCTTTTATTATTATTATTACTATTATTATTATTATTATTATTATTATTATTATTATTATCGATGTCACAATGTATGGTTAATACAAAATAAATCTCAGGGAGGATAGGCTATACATATGCGTTGATTCCTATAACCTTATTGAAAGACATATATAATTTTATTATATTGTGTTATTCCAGAATTACACCAAAGCGAAAACGACGTTAATGATATGTAAATTTCAAATTATACACTGTTGGAAGTGGAAAAAGAATTTTTTTTTAAATACTGAGAAATTGAGAAGATATCTAATAAGCGTATAAAACTGTATTTGGCAGATAAAATGTAAAGTTTCCAGGCCCGTATATCCAGTAGTTGGGGTGTTAAGAAGAGTGTGTATAACGCACCTAACCAAATTTGATAAGGTCTACATTTCCAAGACAGTCGAAAATGTACTGAATATAAATTTGTGATTTTCTGTGATTTAAAAATAAAATCTTAATTTTTTACATTTTAACCAGTAGGCATAATCTACTCAGTCTCTCGTAATTCGGAAAAAACGCAATTTATTTAATTTTGAAATTTTGGCTTAGGGGCACCCTGTGGATGTAATCTATCATGGAACGTGATCATTACTCCAAACAATTTTTAGAAATATGAAATTATTATGAGAGTTACGCATTATTATATCCGACCGTCCAACCACTAAGCATTGAAATGTTGGCAATCAACCAATCAAAGAAGACATTTATGCATATTTAATTACTTTCCCAGCTGGTGACGGTACAATAAAAATGCGTTATTATTTTTTTCTGAAGTTAACTTAAAAGTTGCGGTCATAAGATTAATTTTTAGAACCGCATTATTAACACTGAGATTATTAGGTTAATCTTTCAACGTCGGCGCGTGCACTTTTTTTTTTTTTTTGAATTTAATATGTGTATAATGATTTTGATAAACAATCTCTGTACTATCTACTGAACATTTAAAGAATGAACTTCCTTATGTTGTGGTCATATTAGACTTATATTTTTAAAGAAGACCATTCAGCAAACAACATAAAACAAAATTCCCACGTTGGGGTATTCATAAAACGTATTATTTCCTGAAATTTGGATATAGAGCGGACTTCCTTATGGTTTAGGCCTAAGGAAATATATATGTATATGGTTCTGAACTTTGTAGGTGAAAGTGTTCTTCCTTATGTTGTGGTCATATTAGAATATAATATCATTAAAGACCTTTTACCAAACAACATGAAACATATATCAAACTTTTAGGTTAAAATTTCCGCTTCCGAGCATGAATATAACGTAATTTTTTAGATATATGATATTTTCATGACAGTCGAGAATGTACTGATTATATAACTTATAGATAATTACTGTTGTCCGATTGTGTGCATTGAAAATGTGACGACGAACTCGGGACGGATACGGGCCTCGGTTGACACTCATATCAAAGGCCCTGTTAATTGACCTTGCACAGAAGCCTGTCGTCACCTGCTACGATGCCTTCTCCTCCTTATCGTCATCACATCATCATCATCATCATCATCATCATCATCATTTTCTTCTTCATCATCGTAATTATTAATTGCCCATGCTAAAATAGGGGAAATCTATTAATTCAGTGTGCATTCATTCATCAATAGAAGTCTCTTAATGCACGTAAGTGCATTTCTCAGCATCTAGAAAAAACAAAATTTGCGAAGCTAGGAGAACCCCAAGACTACAGCAAACCACCCC